TTAATTTTTATATAATTATTAATATAAATAATATTTACTAATAATAAATATTTTATAATAATATTATAATTTTTAATTATTATCATTCTTTTTTTATATTAATAATAAGTTTAATTATTTATTTAATTTTAAATCTTAAAACTTATTTTTTTTTTATATTATTAATAATAAATATTAGTATTATTTAACTAATAAATAAAAAAAGTTTAATTAAAATAGAAAGTATATAAAAAAATTATACATTAATAATTTTAAAAGTAATAAATATTTATATATATATTATTAATATTAATAATAAATACTTAATATTATAATATTATATATTATATATATAAAATAAAATCAATTTAAAAATAATATTGATTATTTATTATAATTTTTTAAAAAATAATATTAATAATAAAAACTTAATAAATAAAATAAATAAAAATTAAAATAAACTTATTAATTTATTTAAATATTTTACAGTTGAAAAGGAGAAAATTACTAATAAATTTTTTTACTTTATAAGCTAAATTTTTTAATAAAATAAATCCAGATTTAATATTAAAAAAAATTATTTATTAATAATTTCTTTTCTTTCTATTATAAAATATCTATTTTATTTTATTTTAACAAACTAAATTAGTAAATTCTAAATTTAAAAATATCAAAATTATTTATATATAATTTAAAATATAATAAGTAAATTAATATTTAATATTAACCTAATTTACTAATTACTTATAAAATTAATTAATTTTTTTTTTAATAGTTTCTTTTCTTTCTACTACAAAAATATCCATATATAAAAATAATATTAGTAAATTACTAATATTTTATAATTTACTAATACTTATAATAAAAAGAAAATTGATAATAAAATAAACTTTTCTTAGTATTATATAGTCCTAAAAATAAGCATTATATAACACACTCCTTTTATAATAATTTATTTATTTATTATATAAAATTTATTCTATTATTAGTTATATATACTAATAAATTCATATATATTATATAATGCTTATTTTCAGATCTATATGATAATTATTTTTTTCTTTATTCTAAATATTTATATAATTTAACATTATTTTAAACTTCTAAATAATCTATATTAATATCTAAAATATCTAAATTTAAAATTTAAAAACGCATTTTTTTATCAAAATAATAAAATAAAAAAAAAGTAATAAAAAAATTTAATAATTTCATAAAATATATGTTATTATAAATATATAATATATCAAAATAATATTATAGTATAAATATAAAATACTGAATTATTTATAAACTTATGACATTAAGATTTCAAAATTTAAAAATAAAAAATTAATAGATTAATATAACAAATTTGAAATTATAATATATATTAATTATAAATTTTTCAAAATATAATATTTACGTTCTAATAATAATAATAATTAATATTTAGTAAATATTATTTTAAATAGTTTTAGCTATTTATTAAAAATAAGTAATTAAAACTTTTAATTAATATTTTACATTTATTAAAATTTTATTAATAAATTATATATTAAAAATATTAATTATTTATTAATTTTTAAATATAATAAATTTAATTTATTTGAATATTAAATAAATTATTAATATAAAATTTCCAATACAAATTTCAAATAATATATCTTAAGTATTATGAAATATTGATATTTTTCTAAAAAATTAACTTTGATAATAAATTCTATAAAAAGATCAATATATAATATTATATATAAACAATTAGTAAATAAAAATATTATATAAATACTTTGCAGTAAAGAGAAAAGAAATTACTAAAAATGTTTTTTTTTTTACTTTATAATCTAAATATTATTTTTTTAATAAAATAAATTCAGATTTAATATTAATTCAAAAAAATTTTTTTTGGTAATTTTCTTCTTTTTATTGCAAGTATTTATACTGTATATTATTGAAGAATTATGCTAATTTTGATAAACTAATTTTTTACTAATAATTAAATATATAAATTATAAATTAAAATATTAATACAATAGTGAGCAAAAGAAATGCAACTACTATTGGTTACTTTTAAAAGCTTATAATAGATTAATTATGAAATTAAAATTATAATTTTATATTTATTTTAAAGCTTAAATCTTGTAAATTTTTTAATCTAATTTTTTATATAGTATTAAATGATCTTTAATCAACAATTTTCTCATAATCTACAGGTTTAATTTAGATGTAATTTAGCTTATTAGATCATTACACTATGAAGAATCTGAATCTAATATCAGTTTTTATTATAATGAGTCTATTAAAAAAATTTTCTATACTCAAAATTTATTAAGTAAAAAATTCTAATATAAATCATTAAACTACATAAGTTTAGTATTATTAACTAGGTATTAAATTTATATCAGGTTGTTCTTCAAGATTTAGATTTTAAAATAAATATAAAATTATGATTTTAATCTTTATAATTAATCTGTTATAAGCTTTTAAAAGGTAACCAATAGTAGTTGCATATTTTTTGCTTACCACTGTATTGTATTTATTATTACAATAAATTTTTAATATTCAAATATTACAATAATATTTGAATACATAAAATTATGTTAAATTTATTTTCATAATATTATTTATAGAATTAAATAATCTAGTTTCTTAAATTTATCAGTTTATATATTTATTTCTAAGTTAAAATGTAATAAATATATTGGATTTCTTTTTTTATACTATTTTATATTTTAATATTAAAATAAAATAATTAATAATTTTTTGTATTACTATGAATTAAAATTTACTTTATAAAAATAAATAAAAATTACTTATGTTCTTAATCTTTAAAAAATATCATTTGAATCTATACTCATTATTTATTATATTAGAATTAGAATTTATTAAAAAAGAAAATATTATTTTTTTTTTAAATCAATTAAATAAAAAAATATAAATATATAAATAAATCAAACTATGAAAAATAAATTAAAATTTAATGTAAATTTATTAATAATATTATTTAAGATATAATATTATAAATTAATTTCTTTAAATAATTTATTTCATGATTTATTTTTCCTTACTAATGCTTAATTTTTATAATTTTTATATTAATATTTTTCTTCTAGAATATTATGATATTTTATGATTTGTTATACTTTATATAATTTTGCAATTTAATTAATAAATGAATTTAATTTTTTATATTAACATTTTTCTTAAATATATTTTAGATTATAATGCTAATAATAAAAATATAGATAATTAACAATTAATAATTTATATAATATATATATATTTTATTTATTTTTTAGATAAAATTAGAATTATAATCTTTTGATCACATAAAAAAATGTTTTTTATAATCTTAGATTGATTTGACAATATCAGATAACAAATTTTTACTAATTTATTTTTAACCTATAAATAATAATATTATATTTATTATCATTTTCTTTTTTTAAAACTAAAAGTATTTAATAAATGGTATTTACTATTATATAATCCTAATAAATAAGTATTAAAATAAAATAGCCTTTTAAAAAAACAAATTAGTTTAGACTTATTTATAAATATATGAAATAAACCTCTTTATTAATAAAGCACTAACACCTTTTACTTTTTCATAACCCAAATTAATAAAATTTTTATTTTTATACTGACTATTTTAATAAAAGAACAAAAATGTAGATAAATTATATAAAACTATCTTTTAATTTTAAAATATTTTATAATAACTGCAATAATAGTATTATATTGGATTTATTATTTTTTAATAATGTAATATAGACATATAATTATTATTTAATTTATCTTTATTACATATATTTTTATTTTATCTTTATATCAAGAAAATTTTTGAAATTTCTAGTTAATTTATCCAATTATTAGAAGCAATTTCAGTATTATTTACTTTAACAATTTTCAAAAAAATTTTATATTTTTAAGAAAAATTATATTTATTAAGAAAATTAATATAAATTATTATGAAATCTTTTTCTTTAACATGTTATATTTAGAAATTAATAAAAAAAAATTAAAAGAAAGTAAAAACTATTTTGTTTCTTATCAATAAATTATACTTTTTTATACTTTTTTATATATTATTATAATTACAACATTAATTTAAAGCATGATCTTATATAATTATACAATAACTATTATTTATATTAAAATTATTATTTTATTATTTTAAACTAATTTAACCAATTTGAATTTAATCAAGTTTTTCTATTTTATTCTTTTTAATTTAATTAAATTTTAATAGTATTTTTATCAATAATATATTGTTTAAATATATTAAATATATTAATTTTATTACATTATATATAATAATTATTTATATTAAAATAAATTTATTTATTTGTGATTACCTAATTTTAAAATTTTAAATTAATAAATCTTAAAAATTAATTATTTTCTTAAATATTATTTATATTTTTTTTTGATTTTAAATTTAATATAATAAATATTTCTATTATTTAGAATTTTCTTATTTTGGATATATAGAATAAACTTGATACCTTAAAAACTTACTTTTTAATTACTAGTCATTAATACGTTCTCTGGGTAACTCAATAAACCATGATAGCACAAAAATCTTTTGAACTTAATCTTCTCAAATTTTACATCTCTTTTTTAAATTAGAGGTAGTCTAATAAGGGCAAGTAATAATAATATGGTTATACTTCCTCATCAATATCTATAAAACCATCATTTCCGTCGGCTTCACTGAAAATGTACATATTCGTATATGTATTCATACTTGTATCTGAAAAATCAGCGTTGGTCATCTTGGTGGGAAAAGTTTTCTTATTCAATGGATTCAGATCTTCTAGGATGTATAGGATCAGACGCATTCTTATTGGTCCTTGCTCGAGTAAAAAGATGAAGAATCAGATGAGTTAGTGAGGTATTAATTATTTCGATCTTAAATTACTAGAGAAATAACAGAAATAAATATATTGAGCATTTTGCAAAAAATAGTGTCACCATAAAGTATCTTACGAAAATTCGGTCGACGTTTATCTGATCGACCACAACTTGATAGGAGTAAATTTAAAAAATTTCCAAAATAGGTAAGAATCTTTCGAAATAACTATATTTTGAATAAAAATTTCCATTTTTTATTTATCATTTTTCGCACAAAAAAAAAAAAAAATTTAATTATCTACATCCTTTTAACCAAAGAAACAAAAGATTTCCATCCCGGTAAACTATTAACAATCTCCGAAAAATCCAATCCACTTTCATTATTATTGTTTACGTTATCACTAGATTCTAAAAAATTATTTTTTTCTTTTTCTTGAGTACCTTCAATGTTAAAATTAGGAATTTCTAGCTCTTTTTGAGCTATTTTGCTATTCATAGAAACTGGTGATTCAAAAATAGGATCATTTTGCGTATTTTCCGGGATTTGTGGTATAACATGAACAGGGAACAATCTACCAACACTATCTCTTAAACCAAGAGGACTAAATTTTTCTGATGTTGAAATATTAATATGATCTGGTTTCATAATACCAATATTAGTTAAATTAAAATTTAGTTCTGTGCCAATATTATTATGTGTAATGCTATCAACTTTTGTCTGAGGAAATTCAAAATCCTTCTCAGAACTTGTTTGAGATAAATCTGCAAAAATTCCTCCAAGTTTTCTTTCAGCATTAATAAAGAAATCGCCATTGAACGTATTGGCTTTGTTACCTTGATCATCTTGAAAATATGAAAAAATTAGAATTTTTAATTTAATCAATTATGAATTAAGATAATTCTATGTCTTACCATTTACCCAGCTTGAGGAGGGCCTTTGATGACTTTTATTTTGTAAAACATCAGCAAAGCAAGCTAAACTTTCTGTTGTAGGAGTTTCAGCACATGTGCTGATTTTACTGACACGACTAATGGATTTTGACCTCGCTAAATAATTAACATAAAAAGATTAGAAATTTTCATGTTATATATTAAATATTAACATTAATCACCTAAGTTTTTATCTAAGAAATTTGAACCGTTAAATTTTGACGTCAATTCTTCCTGATCCGAATCCGAAACTATTTCTTTGTCTAATTTATTATTCTTTACATCTTCAAATTTTGTTTTCGATATAAAATTCTTGCCCTCTTCAGTAGGTACATTTGTTCTAAAGCATTCAGCATTAATTGCTGAACTGTAACTATGATCAACTTTTGATAAATAGTCTTTAATATTTTGTTGGTGGTCACCTATCTGATTTAAATAATCTTTCATATTCTCTTGTCCTGCTAATAACAGCAAATATTCATCCATTTGAGAAATAGATGTCATTTGATTGACATCAAATGGCAATTGTGTTGTTGTGTCGTTCTTAACATCTAAAATGTAAAAATATAAAAAGCCATCAATGTATATTCAAATATCGATGATGCAAATTATAAATAACTTATCAATAATCAACCTTGAACCTTATTCAAATCTTCATTTTTACATTGTTGTTTTTGCGCAAATTGAAAAGTACTAAAGTCATTATAATTTTGTCCATCGAATTCATTGTCACTAATGAATTCATTTTTCTCACTTTCTGGAGTTAAGCGAACAAATATCTTTTCCCAATCCTCTTCCGTATAAACACTATGTTGCGATACTAAACTTGCATCTTCACGAGATTTAATCATATTTTCCATTCCACTATCGTTTTTCCCGAACAATGATTCCAAGACACTTCCAAAATATCCTGACCCATCATTTTGGTGATTAATCTCATTTGAATTCCCTGATCTACCAACACGACTTGCAATATCATTAATAGATTGTTCCTGTTTTTTTAACCTTCGCTCCCAATTAATTAAGTCTAATCTCTTATCAACTAAATCTTGAGCGACCTCCAGCGCAATTTCTAATCGCTTTTCCTTCCTAGTTAATTGTCCTTCAACTCTTTGAAACCCTTCAATAGCTTTCTGAAGTTGCTTCAAAAGAGCATCAAGAGAATTACTTGTAGCGTTAAAGTCGTTAGGTGGCCGATCCAGAGATAGACTAATAAAAAAATGTTGACCATTTTAGTAATATATAATAAAACTTGGAATTTAAAATTTTAGTAAAAAGAAATTAATTAACAATAAACCTTAAAGCATCAATTATATCTCTCGTATGTTTTCCTGTTATAGTATCCAACAGCTCTCTAACAAGTTTTTTCCCATTTTTCACCTTCTTTCCATGCACCGAGATTACTTCATACTTTTCAATCAAATCAGTAACTATTTTTTGCATAGCTTCCAAAGTTTGATGACGCTCCAATGAGACTTTATCCCGAGATTCTATTTTCTTTTTTGTTGACCGAATCTTTGATAATAAATCTAGTAATTTCTTTGAGCTATTATTTGCTGAATCATCATCATCAGATGAAATGTCTTCAGAACTTGAATCATCTCCATCTGTATCATTTGATGGAATTTGTGAACAACTTTCCACACTTTTGATTTTTTCAGGTTCATCAAATTCTTCGGATTGTTCTAACCAGGTCTGAACTTTTGCAATTGATTGAGGAATATAGTTTTGTCTTGATAATGTCTCTTCTAAGTGTAAAGACTGTGTTGGTTTTTCTAATAAGGGCTTTGATATTGAATTTGCTTCCTGTATTTTTTTCGGTAATTTAAGGTGATTAGATGAAAACTTATGATATAATGATTGTGGGACAAGATCTGGTTGATTCGATTGTTCTGTTTTAGATTGAAGATTGGTTTTAAAATCTAAAGGAATTTGAGGTTTCGGCTGAAATGATTGTCGAGTAGTATGTAATGTTGACTGACCATCGTTCTGTAAAGATAACGGTTTTTGATCCTGTAACGATTTAGTTTTTTTTAAATTTTGACCCCGTGAATCAATAGTTCCTGCTGACTCAGCTTCATTCTCTCTAGGATGTGTTAAAATTGCTGCTCCATCATTAGCTACTTGGAGCTCTTCATTTTCATCAATAGTAGGCTGTAATATATATCTTTCTTTCAAAATCTGGTTAAAAGATTGTTCTGATGCTAAAGCGTTTGAAACATCCCCTTGATAATTATAAGATTTACTGGTGATTAAAGTCCCACGCGATTGATCATTTTCTTTTAACATTAAAAGAAATTTACTCCATCCGATATTATCTGGTGTCAAATTTTCCCAGTATTCTATATTTTCATCATTTTCTTCCGAAACATTCATTGAAAGATTTCTTGATTCTCTTGCAATCTCCGCCATTCTTTCTCTTCTCTTTTGTTTTCTGACCTCTTTATATTCATCATCTATAGTGTCTTCATTGAGCCTTGTCCCCTGAATTTTGACTTCCTGCAGCGCAAGATGATCCATCTTTTCTTTCCTTTGTTTCTGTTTAGTTTCCTCTAATTGTCTCATTCTTCTTTTCGTTTCTTCTTTGATTACTTGTTTTCTTATTAATTCAAATTCTTGCTTACGTCTAGCTTTGTCTTGAAGTTTTGCTTTATATTTCACGTATGAATGATTTTGTGAACCGTATTTCTTTGACTTTTGTATAATCTCTTCATTTTCTTGTAAATATTCAAAATTGTATACTCCTCTCGTATTATCATCTGCAACGCTTGACGCGACGTTAGGTAACTGTGATTGAGACCTTGGTAACCTATATAATGGTTGTTTATTAGTGTCAAAATCCTTTTGATTTTTTGCATAATCATTCATTTGAAAAGAACTCTCGTGATTCACGTTAAATTCTTGTTCATCATCATTTTGCTTACAATCTTGTATTTTAACATTTTTATTTTTCTTTGGAGCATCATGTTTAATTCTCAATCTTTCCTGAACTTTAATCAATATATCAACATCATTTACATTTTCCAAATAATGAGAAAACAAAGGTGTTTGCTGCTGATTCTGCTTTTTACGTCGTTCCTTATCTAAACCGTTTAATTTATTTAATCTTTCTTTACGTTTACCCTTCTTTACTATTGTAACAAGATTTTTTTTGTCAGAATTATCAGGAAAACGGGAACCTAAGTTTTTAAATTTTGCTAAAACACAGTCTTCTAATTCTTCATTTTCCAATGTACGTATTGATGGTGAACGATATGTTTCAATAGTTCCCAAATTTTCATTCTCACTCTCATTTTCATTTGATATTTGTGACATATGAATACCGTTTAATGTATCAATTAACGAATCTTTGATTTTTTTTTTGGAATTACGTGTTTGGCTTTGTTTCTGCACAGATATGAAACAGTAATACGGTATGTATGTGTGTTTTTAAACTAAATCAATTATTTAAAGAATCTTTAAAACAGGCAATTGAACAAACTTTTTGTAAAATCAAATAAATATCTAAAAATCAAACAACCAAAAAATGAGAAAATAAATGAGCCGCGTGAAATCGGGACTTTTAAGTTTCCGACTAGGTAGATCATGTGATATAATGTTTCGGTAGATTACCCGAAACTTTAATTTGGCAAACTAACATAATCCGCAATAAACACCTGATTCAAAAGTATAATAAATAGAGTAACAAAAGCTCAAAGGTCAACTCCGAATGCTACTAACTATCTTTGCTTTTTGAATCAAGTAAGTGAAATTACTATCAAAAAGACGAGAAAATTAGATTTAAATTATACAGCATAGTAAAATGCCGAGTGAGCTTCTTTCTATTATATTTTTCCGGCGTTTAATGAGAGCCGATATATTGTTTTGTGTATTTATTTTTCGGTTATACGAAACACGATTATTTAAATAAATTATTAATTTATAATTTAGGTGTAGAACTTCTTTTACCTTTGGGTGAGTTATTGTCCGTTCAACAGCAACCCATTCCTAAAATCAAGTCGCTCAAAGGAATAGCTATTCACCGTTGTTACCATGACTTGTCAACATACGATGGTAAAATCAAATCTACTCAGATTCAAACGAATCATAGGAACAAATTTCAACATTTGAGACTGACAGAGGCTCAAAAATCCAAAAGTGATGTTATTAGAAACAATAAATCTTTAAACGTTCTTCCGACAAAAGCAAATCCTTTAAAGTCTATAGACATTTATTATTCAAACAACAATTGTTATATCTTGAAAATTTATAATGATTTTTCATTAATGGCGATGAAGAATTTCAACAAGGATCAATTTATTACTAAATTCACTGGAAGTGGGATACAATGTGTGCAATTTATTGAAAGAAACACTTTAGCCAATGAATTATATATAGAGTTTTGTTCTGAAAGATCTTTAAGTCCTTCTGAAATGACTGTTTTCATTAGCAGAAAGGAGAATCCTAATTGTTACATAATTAAGACTTTTGATTCGGGACGAGTCATTTTAAGCGTTTATGCTAGTAGTGACGTTGATGTAGGAGAAGAACTTTCAATTGGAACAATTTGGTCAAGTAAAAATTCAGGTCCTTGTATAAATGGTCTACTTAACAGTCAAAGAGATTGGTTTAAGGACTTGACATTAACTGATATTAAAAATGACATTTATCAAAATATTTCAATTTATTTGAACACAGAGGAAAGATATTATATGAACAACGATCCTGATCTTTTAGTAGATACTGCTACATTAGAAAATGAAATCTTAGAACATTTTCTTGGTTATCAGTCTAACCGAGTTTCAATCGATGATTTGGTAGAGGTGACGATTAAATTATTTAAATTAAATTTTAATGATAAAGAATTCATTAAATACACAATATCGTGTTTAAATAATCATGTTAGTATTAGCCAAAAAGTATCCATTTTATTTAATACTTGCAGACTATTTATTCTTTGGTGGAATGATATCAACGAGTTGACCACAGCATCTAAATTAGAAAGGTTTGCAGTATGTTGGTCTTTATCATTCAATGGAATGATGGAAGTATATATGAATGCTGAAGCATGGGCAAAAAATTTAGTAATTTCTTTTAATAAATTTAGTGAATATCTTTGGCAATGCTTAGAAGCTATTGGGTGGGAAACCGTAACTACTGTTGCTTCTTATAATTATTTTCTTTTTCAATTATCTAATGCTTATGGTATTTAGAATAATATTTTATTATCATATTGGTTATTTATAATTTAATAATTATTATTTAAATATTATGATTTTATTTATATATTTTAATTAATTTATAAATAATTTATCTTATAGTTTTGAATTTAGATTATAAAAAAAATTTTTGATGAAAAAAAAAAATGAAAAACACAATGAATATATCATTGATATGATGAATGGAAACTCAATAAATCCATTAACATCGTATAGTGATTTAGAAGAAAACTTTCGACTCTTAGAAATATTTCACGGCGTAATATACACATGGAGATATATATATTTTATAAAATATATAATGGATTTTAATAAATTTTAAAATTTTTTTTTAAGATTATTATTAATAATATAAGATAATTAATAAGAAAATCATATTTAATAAATTTATAATATTTATACAGTTTAAACATTTTTATATTATTAAAAGCTAAAAATATATATAATATTTTTATTTTCTATATTACTAAATTTTTATGATATTTAGATTTTATATATAAATAAATTATAAAAATATTATTTTTATAATTTTGTATATAAATTTATTTATAATTTTATTTATTATTTGAAATTTTAATATTTATAAATTATTATAATATATTTTATAACAAAAATTTATATTTTATAGTTTATATAAATATGGTAATTTTATTTGTATATGGGTATTGGAATACAGATCATATGATACAGCTAGTATTTAACAAAATTAGATTAGATTATATTCAAGTTTGATCTATTTGATTTTATTTCTATAGATCTAATTTGAATTCAAATTTAATTAAAATTCAAATCTGATCTGATTAAAATCTAGTTTTAAAAGAAATCTAAAAAGTTTTTTTATATTAAAAAGAAATAATTTTAATTTTAAAATAGATTTTAAAATATTATATATTTTCATTTATTTTAATTAAATGATAATATAATAGCTATCAAAAGAAATGCAAATAATCATGTTTTAGGTTTAAAAATCTATAATTTATTAATTATAAATGTTAGAATTATAATTTTATATATTTTATAATTTTTAGGTTTTGAAGATTATTTTATATTAAAAGTTTTTTTAATTAAGAATATCTATTTTGCATAAATTATTAATTTATATAAAAAATCTGTATTTAATAAAATTTTGTTAGTAAAAAAATTTTTAAGTAATCTAAGTAGAATAATGCCTTTTATATTACTTCTGTTATATAAGTATACTAAGTTTTATAAATATAAGGCTAGTAATTACTAAGCTATTTAAATTTAAACATTACTAATTTATTTATAAAATTTTTTTTTTTAAATAATTTATAAATAAATTAATAATATTTAAATTTAAATAGCCTAGTAATTACTAGCTTTTTCTTATGAATCTTGGCATATTTATATAACAAAAATAGATCTAATATATATAAAAAGCAAGCATCCTACCTATGCTACTTAAATTTTTTTCTATTAATAAAATTTTATTAAGTACAAGTTTTTAGTATAATTAATAATTTATATAAAATTGATATTCTTAATTAAAAAATTTTCTAATATAAAATAATTTTCAAAACTTAAGGAGTTTCGCAAGTAATTTGTGATTCCTCTTGGAGTTTTGCAAGTAATTTGTGATTCTCTTAGAGTTTCGCAATTACTTTGCGATTCCCTTGGAGTTTTACAAGTAATTTGCGATTCTCTTAAGAGTTTCGCAATTACTTTGCGATTCCCCTTGGAGTTTCGCAAGTAATTTGCGATTCTCTTAAGAGTTTCGCAATTACTTTGCGATTCTCTTGGAGTTTCACAAGTAATTTGCGAATCTCTTAGAGTTTCACAATTACTTTGCGATTCCCCTTGGAGTTTTGCAAGTAATTTGCGATTCTCTTAGAGTTTCGCAATTACTTTGCGATTCCCTTGGAGTTTCACAAGTAATTTGCGAAACTCTTTAGAGAATCGCACATTAGATTCCCTTTGAGATTCGAATATATCGAACTGAACTTTCGGATTAATCCAAAATTTTCAGTTCAGTTCAGATTTTTTTCGGTTCGAATTAGATTTATAATCTGAAAAAAATCCGAACTGAACCGAAAATTTTCAGATTGAATTTTTTGCAATCTGAAACCGAACTGAAGTTAATCTGAACCGAAAATTTTCGGATTAATCTGAACCGTTCAGAGCTTTAATAATGATAAACTATTTACGCTAATGTATTAGAAAATTATTAAGATAATTTTAAAGGAAAATAAATGTGAGATTATGTAAATCTATTTGTTATTTTTAACATGCATGTTGAATTAAACATTTGCAAACTTTATCTTATCTATGCTTATTATTAATTCATTCCTCTCCAAAATCAAAATTTGTTGTTGTAATATAAAATTTCCATTTATTCAATCTCGAAGACCTTACTTATGTACATTTGTGTGAATATTACAATTTTTTTTATAAAAAAATTCAAAACCAATTCATTGCAATAAATAGAAAATAAATGGAATAGTGCCAATCATAATTATAAATATAATATTTATACATTACCTAAAAGTGAGTCAAATATAAATGCAAAAGAAAATAGTTTAAATGCATTTTCTTTTTGTAAAATAAAATATTTAAATCATCCTAAAATATATTATCGAAATTATTAAGTTAAGTTCTTGAATAAAAATATCAATAAACTCATTGCCAATAAAGCTGTTTATATCACATTACACCTCACTCATAAATCTATACGTATAACCATTTAAAAATAATCTTTAATAGTCAATTACTATTATATAATCTTAAGTATTTTGAATTTTAGCAAATCCATATAAGTGATAATAAAATATAATCAATTTTAATAAAATTAGAAGTTTGTTTTGAAAAATTTGAGACTATAGCTAAGGATATTATCAAAAAATTCTTATTAAAACTTAAATTTTAAAATTTGTTAAAATTTTTAAGAATTATCATTTCTAAATCCGTCCATATTATTATTATAAATAAATTCATTTTCACTAGAACAACTTTCTGAAATAAATTTTTACACCATTTGTTATAACATGTGGTTACATTCTAAACATTCTAATTTAGAAAATATCGGATTAAACTTCACTATTTTCCGCTCTCATATTTATTTATTTACTTGACAAAACATTTGTTTTTAGAAATTTTTATTTAAAAATTCGTAAAGGACAAATTTTAAATCGCTAATTTATATTAGATTTAAATTATGTTTACGCGCATACAGGATAGGAATAAATTCCTATTTAATATTAGTTATGAAAGATTATCTGTTGATTTACCATAACTCCAAAGTCTAGTTTTAACGAATTAAATTTATACACAAAAAAAATAAAGTTGCGCAAGGCTTGTGAAGTGCTTTTACAAGAAATGAGTGAAGAAATTTTTGTTCAAAGGAGCATTCGTGTAACCCGGAGTCGATAAAAAATTTTTTTTTATTAAAAAAAATTAAATGTTGTACGCGTGGATGCAATCTAATTTCTTTCTATTACCAGAATAAATCAACAAATTTTTTGAAGCTCACTTTGATCGATCAAAGTTGGTAGTTTACCTACTTCTAAATCTTGTCTAATTTTTTTAGTTAGTTCTTAATTTATTTGTTAAGCTAATGAGCCACTTAATATGATACTAATATTATTTCAAGTGAAATTAAATTCAAATATACACATAATTTTAACCATTTTGCTTTTATCGTACTTTTTTTTTTTTAGAGATTCACTAAGTGAGTGGAGTGATGTTTATGAGCATATAATAAATTAATAAAGAAATGTGATGTTTTGAAATTGAAGAAATCATAGGAGAAAATTCGTCAGTGATAGGTTTGACATAAGAATTAATTAAGGTGGTGCTTTGTTTAAATCTTACTTTAAAAAATGTCAAGTTGTTCCAATACAAAATGATATGATATCTTAAATGGAAAAGGTTATTTTTGCGCGATACAAAAAGTTTATGCATCATTAAGAAATAATTTTGATACTTAATAAGAAAAAAATATAAAGTTGCTAACTTTTCAGGAGAAATTATTTTGAAAGAATGAACACAAATCAAATAGCTTTTAAATTATCAAGATACCTAATTTAGAGTCAAGTAAACCACCGTAAAGATATTTCTCCACATCTAGACAATTTGATTCTGTTGACGTTGACTTCAAAAGGGTGGGTCTTGTAATTTGATTAAGTTATTATTATCATCGCCTGACGTTGACATTTGCACACAATCAGAGTGCCATATCTAATAATTATTACACAGATAATATTAGTAGAGATTGCGCCAAGGATCGTCAAGTTTCCATCAACTAAATATTTTGAACAATCAATTACATCATTTTAACACATTTCTCTAGTTCAGGTTATTTGTTGGTCCTATATTTGCATCATTATTAACGCACTTGTGCTTTTCAATATCAAATCAACTTCGATACATTCTTCTGGTTCAGGTGTTGTTGAAAATTTATTCATTCGCCAGTTCAAATGCTTTTGAACCCAATTATATTCCAATTTAAATATTTCTGTTTTTTAAACAAAAGATATTGGATCAGTATTTCTGGTTCAACTCTATTTAACAGAATCGATTGGGTTCATTAAATTCAGCCAAACTTCACCTTTCTGCAATTTTGTTTTTTTCTATCAAAAAAAAAAAAATAAATCTATCAAAATATTTCTAATAATGTAACACGACAAAATTAAAAATTTCATTATAAAAATACAATCAGCAGCTAAATTTTAATTAAATAAAATTTTACCAGAATTATAAAAATTCCGGGGTTTCCCACCGGACCCTGCCCTTTGCAGGTCTCTAATCCGAATATTTTATAAAATCGTAATTTAAAAAAGAAAATTTTAATACAGTCACTCATATATTTGGTTTGATTATTTGTTTTTTTTAAGCTTTTTAATTAAATTGTAATTTAAATAATTTTATAAATTACCGGCAATCCTCAATTACATTTTAATTTCTCTTTTGAGCCAAGGATTCCAATTATCATTAAAATTGCGGTATCTACAATTCGCTTATAGTACGAAAGTTTTTTATTGGTGACAACAGAAGTTGCAGTATTCGGAAACTTGTATTTATTTGAAGATGTAGGCTCAGATAAATAAATACAAATGTATAACACAAATCCAATGAACAATTTAATTCTATTTCCGTTAATAAAAGAACTTTTATCTATCAAGAATATTATTCAATCGTTTAAATTATTTGAAAATTTTTAAAAGGAGAAATTTAATTTTTATACTACTTTGACGAAAGAGAGCAAGAATGAAAAGTTAATGCGATTGTAGTGACGATTCAAACATTTATATTAAAATTAATATTAAAACCATTAAATGGTAAATGTTATATACTAATTTATTTAAAATATTATTACAGCTATAATAATTTTGTCAAATGTAATTACACGTCTTTAACATTTAAAGATATTAAGTGTTTCATCGAGTAACAAGTACAAATTATTATCTGACAATATTATTATACTTGTCGCTCATGCATCATATGTTTATTAATATAATATATGACATTGGGATATTGAACACTTTTGAGAAGAAAAAAATTAGAGTTTTTTTTTAAGTAATATTATCTAAGAATAAATTTTGAATAGTTAACAAAATATTCATATGAATCTTTTTTTTAATAGTTAATACCAACTGGAATTTGGAACGATTTGTAAGTACCGACTGATATTATATAATTCCGAGCTGAAATGAGTGCAGCGAATAATGTCGGATGATCTTTCATTAGGATATAATATTCAAAAAAGCGTTCTATCACGTTATTTTTTATGTAATAATCTATCGATTTGGAATGTTTTATTAATAAAATGCTTCCAACTATTACTACTACATTTGGGGTTTGATTTAATTACTCCACCTGCCAATGACCAATGTACTAGGTTACTAAGAAATTATCTAAAGAAATATTATAAATCTATATAATATCTAAATAAAAAAAATTTTTATCATATTAAGTTCATTAACTTACATATTTTTTGTATACATAAAGGACCGTGCTTCATAAATGGACTTATGCAATCTTCTAATTCAAACATTTTAATATAGAAGGTTTGCTATTAAAATCAATCACGTTACGGATTGACTATGTTCGTAACTAGCAAGCTTTTCAGATATGTTATTATCATTCGTAAGTTTGAAGTGTGTTAGGCTCTGCAACTCTTGCTGACCACCCCGGTTCCAAATTTTCAAATCTGAAAAAAAATAATGCACATAAGATATTTATGTCGTGATTAAAATTACGACCAGAATTATAATTTATGATAGTTAAACCGTTGATATAAATTTCTATTGGATGAGTTTTTTATAATCATTTTAACTATTAAATGTATGCAATAATCGGCCTGATACAAATTAAGATTATTTTGAACTATACATAAGTATTGTCTGTCTACTATTTGTATATAGTAATTGTTAATGTTATTAATTGAATTATTGATATGCCTTTTCCATTATCGTCTATTAGTGACATATATATGTATACAATTTATATATGAAGAAGCATCCTAGCTACAACCCCCCGTTTCTACGAGTAACTGCGAGTTGTTATTGGTCAACGAATAACAATATAGATACGTATCTTATAAACTCTACCTTAAGTTTTTAAGTTATTTGTTATTTTCGAATTAAGAATTTCATCAGTAATTGATTAAGAAGATAATAATAATTTAAATGTCATGAATAAAATACTCGATGTACTTTATTTAGCTCTTGCACACTTTAATCAAATGAATTGTAATAAAAATATTGCGACACCTAAAATTCCGCATATTATACCAATTGCAACATTATTCTTTGGAGAAGGTTCAAGATTATCAACCCAAGTAAAGTTTCTAGTATCTAACAAATAAATTTTATTCTTTGGAGAAGGTTCAAAATTATCAACCCAAGTAAAGTTTCTAGTATCTAACAAATAAATTTTATTCGACAAGGAAGTTTCTGCTGATCCATTTGCATGAATAAGAAGACCTATATAGATAGTTCAATAAATTATATTACTTTTCAGCCAAGTCAAAAATAGAAGAAGTATTAAGGAATACTTGCCAAAAGTCACAATCATGTAATTTCCAACCAAATTCGCTGTATGAAATGTAAGTGATGGAAGGTCAACAATGTTCGATGAAATTTGCGGCAAGGACCATTCAAATGGAGTTGTTTGAGTATTCAAAATAGCCAGGTCGGGTAAGACTTTAATATACTTCTTACTGCGTTTTTCCCCACCATATATAATTATTTTTTCATTTTGAACTATATAAGATTAAAAATAATTTAATTTATAAATGTTTCAAACATAAATTATTAATGATAATAAACTATACCTAATACGGCTGAATGACCGAAACGTGATTCAATTTGACCACCATTTCTTGCTCGCTTAAAGAATTTTAATTAATTATTAATTGATTTAAGTAACAAATTATAATAAATCTTTTTATATTACCATTACTGACCAGGTGTTAAGTTTTGTATCATATAGGTCAATTCGGTTCATTTCTACTTCTTGATTATCATTTAAAAATTCAAGGCCTCCAATATATGCAATTTTCCCATTTGATAATAATGTTGCTGTATATGCAACTCGTTTTAAAGGAGAATTTGAAATAGTACCATATGCCCACGTTAAATCTTTAGTACTTAATATTATCATATCATTTTTATTTTCAGAAGAAAATCCACCAAAAACGTAAATCTTTCCAGTACCATCTGCGACAGCTTGAATACCACCCCGTCTCATCGGGAATATTTCTGCAGTTATAGGTACATTCCATTCCCCGGATTTTGGATTAAATATATGTACAAGTGAGGTAATAACATCTTTATTATTTTGATCAATCATAAGTCCTCCAATAAGGTAAATTTTCGGGTTATTATTAATATTTACTGCAACGGTAGTCGTCCAACAATTATTAAATTTTGTTCCTGAATTTAATGTAATGTCGTTCCATGGCGGAAGCCTAGAATCAAACTGTTGTGATATGTCAAGGTAAAATACTTCGTTTGAACAGGCTACTTCATTTCTTCCACCAAAAAAATATAGTTTATTTCCAACAAGAACAGAAGAATGAAAGACACGTCCTTCAGGAGTAAATGACTCAATTCTAATTAACAAATAAAGAATTATGAAGATGAAGCATAAATTAAGTAATTTATTATATTTTTTACAATCCATAATTCATTAATAAATAATTTACTTCAAAAAAATTATTGTTTGGTAGAAATTTTATTTTTAACCCCCTTTTTTACGCCGAACTTCCTTTGTTAGTATAAGGTTGTGTAACATGATTTTCTTGTACTTCGGGACCAAAATTTTGTACAACTATTCGTACGACCAAATCTACAATTATTTTTTTTATCTGATCTTAAAGCTCGAAATCCCGAAGGTTTAAGTCAAAATCCCAAAAAATCATTATCCCAAATCCCAAGTATCACTCAGTAAAATTATTTTTTTTTTTTAATTTAAATAAAAATTTAATATTGACGTTTCTATACATTATTTGATTTTAAAAAAAAACTTTTGAGAAATATCGGTTCTCATGCAAAAAGTTTATATATTCGATGAGCGCAGTTATGATGTTTGTAACTCGTTATTATGACGTTTGGGATTCTGTCATAGTGACTTTCGTAATAATAGTTTTCGGATTTAAATTCGAGTTTACGGTTTTTTTCAAGATAAAATCATACAAAAACAAAATTTAAGAATTAAAAGTTACATAAATTTCCTAATAAATCAATCTTAAATATAAAAATATGGTAGGGTCGGTACCTTTATTTAAAAATCTAATATTTAGTATTTTGAGTAAGTATTCCAAAACTTCTAATAAAAAAACAAATTTAGGTCTTATTTTTTTGTGAAAAACAGAATGTAAATTTAAAACACTCCAAACTTCTCTTAAAACGTTTCCTCCGAAACATTTCTATAAAAAATTATAGATCAATCTCTCCAAAATTTTGATATTAAAAATCTAGTTACATGACATAGTAAATAATAAGGACAAAGCCTCCAACATTAATATGACGGCCCGTAGTAGTCAAAAGCCTCATTATCATGATTTTCACATGATCATCTATCGATTATCTGGCCGATGTTTGTTTAATCAGTACTGAACCAGCTTTCCATTAATTAGGTTCGGTATTATTTAATTAAATAATTCTAATTCAAAAGTATATTGAAAATTAGGTTCAAAGTAAAATATAATTTGATCGAGAAGAATTGTATAAAAGGACGAAAGGTAAAGTGAAAAATTATAAGATATTAAATTCTTTCGAATCTGCTCATTAAAAAAATTTATTATATAGTTTATTGATGGGATGTTTGATTCGTTGAACGAATTAATTTTTGCAAATAAAAATAATAATAGACAATATATTATAAAAAATTATTATTTAATTTATTCTAAAGGATTTGTTGCTTTTAAATAATAATATTTGTACGTCTCATATAATGAATTATTGAATGACAAAATTTTAACTTATTGAATTAAGATTTGTATGAGACATGCGCGGATGGCTGATATGCCTTACGTCTATAACCATTACAAAAACCTGCTTAATACGAAAATCTACTTACCATTCCTTTTTGGACGTCAAGATTTTTGTTAAGTATAAGGAAATATTATAATTTATTTTCTTTTCTTACAATTTTATAATTTTCGTACGAAATTTGGATTTAAGTTATATACAGAAATTAAGTTTTAATTGGGGCAAAATCGTTATCATAAACAATCTTTTCAATATAAAAGACACATTCTATTCGGGACTTTAAAAAACAAGTAATATTTAAATTAACATCAACATGCATGTTATGAAAAATAATAAAATATATCTGATACAATATTGATCGTACAAAGAATTTTTTGGTTTATCAAACAAAAATAAAAATTTTATTATATATGGATACATAAATTGAAAATCCCACATGATGAAAAACAAGATGCATGAAGAAAATCAACTAGTTGCTTTTTGCATTAATCGAGTTTTATTATTTTTTGCACTCGGAGGAACGGAAATGTTTAGATGCATTGTGGTTAAGTTTTCTTAAATTGTGTAACAAATATAACGCCGCCATATCCCGTTCAGGATGCTCACTTTCTTTTTGAATTCATTCCTCATGATAATATAATGAGGAAAAATATTCTAAATCCGAAAACAATTTTTAATCTTTTTTTTCGTGATTAATGAGGCATAATGAAAATGACTTTGCTAATTATTAAATTAATAATAATTATTAATGTGATCATAACTGTTGTGGTCGCACAACCTACAATTGTACGTTGCTGTCATGATTCCGTATTGGCAGAAGGTAGAATTTATATCGGAGGTGGTCTTACAGGAAAAGAATATGAAGACATCTATTTAAATGATTTTTTTTCTTTCGATTTAAGTGTTCCATTTACTACAACTAATATGCAGTATGAAGTTCACGCAAATGTTCCCATAATGAGCATAGCACATACACTTGTGTATGCAAAAAGTGCAAAGGGTGGAATGATTTATTTGTTTGGTGGTAAGAGAAAAATTCCTATTGGAGATCCTATATACGAATACTCCCTAGAAAAAAAAGCATGGAGCTCCATAACACCTAAAGTTAGTAAAGGCGTCACGATTCCAATTGAATCTAGTACCAAGATTGAAGGTATTATAGAAAGCAGTTTGGGTACTATCTACATATTTGACAATGGAACCATGTATATTTATGATGTATTGAATAATTTTTGGAATCCTGGCGAAATCGCGCCTCACAAGCTTAATTATTATGCCGCCGTTATGTTAAACACAAGTGAAATTGCATACATTGGTGGCTCTAATGGTACTATTAACCTTCCCATGGATCAGATCCTTTTATATAACACAAAATTATCATCATGGCATATAGAGGCAAGTAGGTAATTAATTGTATAACTTTTATATTTATTTTCGTTACCAATATTGATATCATTCATTTTAGAACGCAAAGGCAAGAGATAAAATTCCATCACCACGGCAAGGTCACACGGCATCAATAGGTAAGCTATAATGTGCGTCTATCCGTCACTTGTTTATTTGACCTTGTGCTGTATATATTTATTCATATAATAATAGCACCGGATGGACGGATATTTATATATGGTGGTTTTGAAGGTAATGATGATGTGCTCACTTCCGGAAGTACTCCCACGTTCGCAGTCCTTGAGCGCGTTGGTGATGAATTCGTATGGTTCTCTCCTGAGCTGTTTAATCCGTCATCTGTTATGAGGATCTACCATACCTCACACGTAGTAGGAGATTATTTGATCGTTGCTTTCGGTATGGATCGCTTTTGTGTTTCAGGTATTATTTAGTATGTCATTAATAATATTTATTTTTATAAAGGGCGGAATTTAACTCAATCTAGATTAAATACAATTGATCTGATTAATATAAAAAATAAAGATAATTACGAAATCGTCACAGATTTCATACCACCCTATGAATTGAGTAAACAATCAACACCATCACCGCCCACACACACCTCATCCCGGTCCACCGTCATTATATCATCTGTATTTGGAACTTTTGGTTTTTTTGTAATTATTACGAGTGCTTACTTCTTGTACAGATATTATCGATCTCAGAATGATATTGTTAAATGATTAGTATTTCGTTGCAAACCTACATTTAATACTTGGTGTAAAATCATAGAGTTATTGGTAATTTAACATCAAAATTGTACTATAAGAATATTATATTTAAATAAATGCCTTTAGTCCTTTGATATAGCATGTGACATACTGATTTATTTATTCACAATTTCTTTTTTTTTGTTTTTACGGCATTCCTATGACAAATATATTCAATGCCTTTTACGTTAAATATTTTAAAAATCGATTTTCGAGAAAAAAACGGTTTATTGAATCATATTTGTATAAATTCACAGTAAGAAAAATACCTTTCAAAGATACTTGCATTTTAAGTAGTTCAAACTTAACTTTTTTCTTCTGAGCTTTGTGTAGAAGGGGTAAAGCATCTTCGGTAAAAATAAGTATTTGTGTGGACGGTTCTCTCGGTTCGACTTCGGTTCGATTTCGGTTTTGCTTTGGCTCTCTTAAAGTAAATTATCATTAAGTTAAATTTATTCAACTAGAGCATGTGATGTTCAATTTAAAAAAATTTTTTTTTGACTGGTTAATCAAACTAATACAGTATAAAACTATTTTAATTTGATGATGATACGTTTAGAGGCGACTCTTTTGAGCCTCGGTTCCGATTCGAATTTTAAAATTGGTAAATTGTTTGTGGCTCAGGTAAATTCAGAATATGGATAATTTAGAATCGGTTCCAGAACCAATTCTGAGTCACTCTTTTTGTACGAATATAATGGATATAAAAAAAATCATCGAAATACATGATCGGAATATAAATTTATATTTTTTTTTTAAAAAAAAAAAAAGATTATATATTCTAAACTAGAAAAAATACAGATGAAGAGGGAGATTTTTATAAATACTGAAGGAAAAACAAACAGCCAACTTCATTTAATATATACGATACCTTTGCTACAAACTCTAAAAGTTAATGCGTTATGTTCCTTGATGAAAACTTTCTGATGGTTCTGTAAGATTAACAAAACTTTGGAAAGAGGAATTTGGATATCTTCACTTACAGAGCGCAGAGTGAGGAATGATAATTGGTATCATTTGTATTTCTTTAATTCTTAACTAGGCTTCGACGATCCACTCCCGCCATTCAAAACTTTTGGAAACGAAAAAATATATGGTGCAAAATCCGAAAAAAATAAAAATAAAAATAAAATCATTCAGTTGCTGCGTTCGAATCTGGAATTTTTTTTTTAAACAAACTTGTTGCCTAAAAAAAATTGATAAAAAAGTGTCACCGAACCGACCTTCCGGCAAAAAAAAAAGGCTTGTCCATCACATACTGGAAAAACCAATCATTTATCGATACAGCTAAAGTTATCAAAGACGAAAAAAAATAAATTCGAAAATTTCAAAAAATAAATATTCGACAAAAAAAAAGTTCTAATTACCTGAGACAACGATTCCAATGAAGGAAAGTCGATCACCTTTAATAAGATTTAGGTTAGAAGTATAAAGGTCGTTGACTATTAAAAACGAGTTTCAAACATAGTAAATCACATGATCGAACGTCATTTTAATAGCAAACCTTCAAACAACGAAAATCGAAAATAAAATCTTGAATCCTCGATTAAATCGATTCTCAAATCGATTTTAAATATCGAAATCGTTTCCAATATTTTCGATAACTAAATTTTTTTAAGCTACAATATCGTCTATATAAATTGATTAAACGTCGGAAATGTCTAAACTTCATCTGAACTGACTAAAAATTGAATTTGCTGGGTTCAACAGAAACAAAAATAAAATCGACATTCTTTTCACTTTGCTAATAAAATCTATTAGTTTGTGTCTTAGCATGAAATTAGTAGGTAGTCATGCTTATCAAAAGATAAACGCCTAATGAAAATTTATAAACTGAAAATGTTTTTATTATAGAAAAGAAAGGAATAAATGCCACGGTAAATCACAACCTGTATTGAAATCGGATTATTCCCGGCTTGCTAAATTTTTTTTTTAGTTCCGGCCAAGATGACAGAAAAAGTGGATTACCAGTTATAAACAGGGTTAAAAATTAAATACTTGAGGATCAAGTTCCATTGGTTCAGACCAATGATTAGGGTAAACAATATCAAATGTGAGTACTTGTGTATTTCACAGTCGTGTCTGTAGCTTTTTCGATTTGTATCTTATTCACCATGAAACTTCACGAGGCATTTGAAATACTTAGTCACCGCAGCCACGAAGTTTTTCCTAAATTGATTATTCCTTTCACGGCAGATTAAATTTAGAACTTTAATTGAAAATGCAATTCAGAGATCATAATTTAATTTACATCAAGTACATCATTTTACACGAAAGGGAGATTTTAAAATAAGTTATTCAAAGGCTAGGAATGGTAAAGGTCGATCATAGTCAGTCAACGGTCAATCAAAGGCCTTTAACACCGATTTTTATGTAATTAATTTTATATAGAAAATTGTCATTATAGTTAAACCTTGTAGATCGAGGACAAGGTGTTCATATCCTCTGGCTAAATTGTTCTTACAACATATTCAATTTTTTATTTTTTATTTTTCTTAGGTTTTAATTAATTAGCATTTGGTGATTTATTGATTTATTAAATGATTTTTACATTATAAAGAACCCACTGATGACATATTTTTTGTTCATAAATATAAAATAACCGAGCGCAACAATATGCACATTAAGTTTGCCTATTCATATTTAATGGCGCGATTATTTTTTTTAAAAAAAATTTAAAAAAAGTTTAATTAAAATAAATATAACAAATTATTTCGTATTACTAATGAACAAAGAGAAATTCTATAAATATTTGACCCGTTATACAATATTTGGTTAAAAAAATTGCAATTAAATAATTATGAGATTATAGTACTCAAGGACTCATCTATCTTTGATTCTATTGTAATATAAATCATTATAAAATAGTTTTATCATTATCACCGGCAATCCTCATAATTTCATTTTGTTTTCTCTTTTGATACCATTTATAGCCAAGGATTCCAATTATTATTAAAGCTGCGGCACCCACAATTCCGCTTATTGTACCAATTATAACGTTAGTAGTTTTTGAAGAATCTTGAGTAGTTGTAGTTGTATTTGTTGAAGGGGTATTCGTAGGCTCAGATATACTTTTAGGTTCAAATTTATTAACCCAAGTATAGTTTCTAGAATCTAACAAGTAAATTTTGTTTGACAGAGAAGATTCTATTAATCCATTTGGATGAACAAGACGACCTAATAATTAAATAAATTATTATACTTATTGGATAAGCGAAAATAGAATGTTAAATATTACGTATAAGGAATATTTACCAAAAGCTATAATCACATAATCTCCAACTAAATTTGCTGTATGATAACTTAGTGATGGAAATTCATCAATATTTGATGATAGTTGCGGTGCGGACCATTCAAACGGGTTCGTTTGAGTATTCAATATAGCCAGGTCTGGTGTGGCTTTAATAAATTTAAGAGGATCATCGCCTTTTCCCCCACCATATATAATTATTTTTCCATCTTGAACTATATAAAATTAATAAGATTTTAATTATGTATTAAGCATAAATAATAATGTAAATGATAACAAGTTATACCTAATACAGCTGAATGACCATAACGGGATTCAATTTGTCCAACATTTCTTGCTCGCTTAAAAAATATTAATTATTAATTGTTTTAAGTAACAAATTATAATAAATCTTTTATACTTACCATTACTGACCAAGTGTTAAGTTTTGTATCATAAAGATCAATTTGGTTAAAATCTATTTCACGTCCAATATCATTTATTACTTCCTGGCCTCCAATATATGCAATAACACCATTTGATAATAATGTTGCGGTATATAAATTTCGTTTTGAAGGAGCATTAGCAATAGAACCATATGACCACGTTAAATCATTAGTATTTAATATTATCATATCATTTAAACGTTGGAGGTTTTCCATAACAACTCCTCCAAAAACATAAATAAGTCCAGTATCGTCAGCGACAGCTTGAATATATGCTCGTTTCAATGGCTCATTTCCTGAAATTAAGGGTGCACTCCATTGCCTGGATTTTGGATTAAATGTTTGAACTAGTGAGGTAATAGTTTTATCAAGTATGTCACCAAAAATAAGGTATATGGTTGGGTTATTATTTTTATCATTAAATGCAACAGTAGTCGCCCAACTTCTTCCAAAACTTAATCCTGAATTTAATGTAAGGTCGGTCCATGACGGAAGTCCCGAATCAAATCGTTGAGACACATTAAGATAGAAAACTTCATTTGAATAAGCATTATTTTTTCCATTATATCCACCAAAAAAATATAGTTTATCTCCAATAAGAACGGATGAATGTCCAGCACGTCCTATAGGAGTAAATGACTCAACACCGAAAAGCAAATATATTATGAAGATGTAACATAATTTAAGTAATTTATTATATTTTTTGCAAGTCATAATTTATTAATAGTGGAATAATTTACTTCAAAAAAATTTTTTTTCTGATAGAATTATAATCCCTTATTTATTAAATTAATTTACACTGCATTTTTTTTTTTTTTTTTTTTTTTTTTTTACATATAAGATGATATTAAATGCAGATCCTTTGTCAGTTTACAAATATTGTTTGCTGTACAACTATTCGTACGACTATGAGGCGCTAAATCAACATACATGTAATTTTTTTTTTTTTAAATCACGGGAATTTTCCCAGTAAAACATCCCAAATTTTTAAATTTGAAACAATATTGATATATCAATAATGTCTCAACTTTAAAGTTTAAATAGAAAAATTAATTTCTAAAAAAAATTTTGCTGGGACATAAATGGTTTTATGTTTTGAATTTTATAATGATTCAAAACTTTTTTAACTTTTTAAATAATGCAAATTTTTATGTTGATCATTTCTAACATCAAACTTTAGATTTTTTTTAACTGATCTGATGTTACACAAATAATGACGGCTTAATTATCGATCATAAAAATATTAAATTCTGACCGGAAAATTAATTTCGGCCAGAGTTAAATTCATCAATTTTAACCGGTTAAAAAAATCAACATCCGATTAATTAATTCTCTTTTTTATGTTCATAAAATTACCTATCCGCATAAAAAAAAAAATTAATAAAAAAGCATAAGGTCACCGAAACGACCCTCCCGCAAAAAAAAAATAAAAATGAGAATAATTAATAAAGAAAAATAAGTTCCAACTTACCTGCGGCAACTATAAGAAAAAGAGAAAATTTTATTCTTGATTTAATTAGAAGTATATTAGTCGTTGATTATTAAAACATGTTTCTAACATGGTAAATCATTTGAACGTTAACGTCATTTTAATAGCAAACCTCCCATATTTTCGGAACTAAAATTTTTTTTTAAGCTATAATAAATATATATAAATTGATTAAAGCATATAAGAACGTCGGAAATGTCTAAACTTCATATAGCAATTAAACCTAACTAAAAATTGAATTTGCTAGTAGTTCAATCAACACAAAATAATAAATCTTCTGAATATAAGACGGTGCAAGTATTCGACATTTTGATATTCATTACTCCCGGCTTGCTAAACTATATTTTGTGCCGGTAAAGATGACAAGAAAAGAAGAGGATTACCAGTTAAAAGAAGAGGGGAAGGGATATAAACCATAGCAACATTAGATACCAGAGGATTAAATTCCATTGGTTCAGACCATGAAACTTCAAGAGTCATTGCATACCTCCTAATTTGATTCTTCCTTTCACAACTGATTAAATATAGAACATTTAATAAAAAATATTTCAGAGAAAAAATTTAATTTACACTAAGTACATCGTTTAAGCGAACGAAAGGGAGATTTATTACTAAAGTAAGTTATTCAAATGTTAGGAATGGTGAACCCGTTGACCGACCGAAGCCAAATTGTCCTTACAGAAAATTTATGTAGTACTATATGGGAAGTTTGCTAGGAAAATCCTATATATTTATTTTCTTGATCGTCCAGATCATTTCTTAGTACACCTTTTCCTTTCCTATTCTTTACGATGATATTCCTCTCTCGATTAGCATTTAGTGATTTTAATTATTTTATTTATTAAAAATCGATTTATTAAATGATTTTTACATAATATTTGTCTAATATAAAAATTTCTGTTTACATAAATATCAACGTAAAGAACTGAGCGCAACAATATGCACATTAAGTTTGCCTATTCATATTTAATGGTGCGAATTTTTTTTAAATTTTCAAAAGTTTAATTGATAAAAAAATATATTACTAAAATGATTGGTAATTTAAATAAAAAAGAATTCTTGGTTTTACGATCAAAATCGAGTATATCCTTTACAGAGTACAGTCCGACGATCTTTTTGAGTACAGTCATATGAATTTGGGTACTGATCATCGGCCTAAAATTAATTGAGTCGACAATTAGTTTTAACGTCACAGAAACTTTATTGTGATCAATATCATCATATGATAAAATTTTTTTTTTTCCCGTTCACTATATTCACTATAATAAGTGGTTTCGCAGTGAATGGTTTTATTATAATTTTAATAAAATGAGTAGTTTCGTGCGTGGTTGAGTGATTTTTATTATAATGTCTTGTTATTATAATTAATTTATTTTAATCTTTTATAATGAGTTTAATTTTTACATATATATTCTCTTAAATTTCTTTATAGAAATATTTCAAGAATAATGCTACACCGGAGAAAATACCAAATGTTAGTTATTATAATAATTATCATGTCATGCTGTAATATACGTATATAAAGACTAAAATTCTAAAATGTATATATCATTACAATTAAAAAAATAAAGCTTTCTTGCAGCAAATTATTAAATATTAGGATTAATTAGATGGTTCTTTGTTAATAAACAATACTGATGATACATATGGCTGTATGACGCAGTGAAATGATCAGAAATAAGAATATTTTATAAAAATGCATGAAGTGATGAACTTTTTCCATCCAAATCAAGGTTTTATAAAAAAAATTATTTCGAATTAATATTATTACTATCATGTGACGCCCATTTGTCTTTTAAGTTTAAAACGATAGAGTTTTTTGGAGATTTATCGGGTACACATTATATAGGTCATATAAATTCTAACAATCCGATTAATCAACATTACAAGACTCAGCATGGTTATCTCAGTCTGATGGTGGCCAAGTCTTATTAAAATTTATTCTGTCTGCATAAAAAATTCGCATGACTGCACTACTCAAAAAAATCGTCAGACTGTACTCTGTAAGGTACAACTGGTCAAAATCAGTCGGTTAACCGGTTGGTCGCAACCTTTGACGACTGGACTAAAGATGGTGGTCAATGATCCTGGGGACCGACGTCTCTCCCCATCATTATGTAATTATGCATCAGATTTATTATATAGAGAAATAAAAGAAATGAAAATGAATCAAGCTTACCGTAATGGTCCTATCGAAAGAACTAAGACTACCTATATAAGGTTTAGTATTCTAATATTTAAGACCAAAATGTAGGACCGTCTTTTGATCGGCCTTATCATCCGGCCCTGCGCCATACATGCGTAGGACCATTTACATTTAATATAATTTCGCCCGAAACACCATAATTTCGCATGTAGATTATTTTCGATATTTGCAGGTAGTCCTAATTATTTTTTTTTTTATAAATATGAGCTGGTTCTTAAACATCTCAATATTCCACGTCGCCCTTCTTGTATATGCATATATACACCTTAAATCTTTCCTTTATTCCTTCGCGATATTTTCGCATTCGCCAATTTTAACTTCATAAATTTAAATTTGTAATTTCGTTTATTTTTTAATTCCCGATTTTCTTATAATTGCGTAGTTTTAATTAATTAGATTGTTATTTAGTTTAATATATTGACATTGCGAAAGTGTAGAGCTCCAACGTTGAGACAACACGTATTATTAAATAAATTTAGTGTCAATACAGTGGAATCCTTTTCAATTAATTTACTTCATTTTATTCAATAAAAACCTTCTGCTTACAATTAAAAATTGTTACAAATATTGAATATGTTTTTTCTGTTTTATCTAAACATTGAAAACATTTTTTCACATGACGATCATAATTCAGAGATCAAAAATTTGTATGTGAAAATAATTTTGACGTTCTTTATTTATTTATCGGATTCATTGGACAAACTTTAAATCATTTTTGGCTATCCAGAGGGTATAAATGTTTGGTGTAAAGAACAAAGCTAAAATGTTACGCCTGGTCTTAATGCTGGTCCTTCTACAAATAGTATCTTTAAGATTGAGCAATCCGATGCAAAAGTTTTATTTAAATATACATAACTTTATAAGCTATCTTATCACTTATGGTGGAAGCTTGTGTATCAAGTAAAATGTCGTATTTGAGCTTATGAATGTTACTCTTACTAATCATGGTTTCTCTTGTATAAATTAACAAATTAAAGGTGTTGAAAATATATCACTTGCCTGAGCGCCTATTTTATAATATGCCTTTTTGTCCTATAATCAAAATTCTAGTTAAAATAATTGATTCTCCAAATTTATTTTGATGAGAATCAAATACTGAACTTGTCTTAATAAAAATACTCCATCTTTTAATTTTATATTTGAAGCGAATTTCATCATAATATCCCTTATGTATTTCACAATTTTAGCTGTAACAAAGCAGCAAATTTGTGATCTATGTCATAAGTCATTATCGTGCGAATTGAAACTTATTTATTATTCAGAATTTAAAATTATAAAATTTCATATTTTTAATAATTATTTTTTTAATTTCAGATCATTATTTGAATCCTCATAATCCAGACGCCAAAAATTCTGAAGGTTTAAAAATACAACACCGATAGCGTTCGATTAGTGTTACAGTAAAAATTAGTTTAGAGTAAGTATGTTTCTACTCATTTGAACACTGTGACAATGAACATTTTCATTTTGTATAAAAGTTTTCAAATTAATATAAAGGCATGTTATGGGTTTCCGTCTGAAATTCAAATCGAGTTTCAAATATTTGAATCGTAAAAAATAAAAGAATTTAAATTCGAATATTATTTTATATTCGAATATCCTATTGTCAGACGGAAACGAATAATATAGTAATTTCACGTGACCGTATAAGGTTGGAAATGATCTTTACGAATGAAAATAAATTACATTTCTGCTTTTCATGTCATTCATATATAATTTTGCTTCTATGAGGACAAGATCCAACTCTTAAATAATAACCTAAAAACAAATTAAAATAAAAATTTTTACGAGAAATGTGATTTTTTAATTCAAGCAAATCTATTGGTGGCTAAAATTAAAATAATGCAACAAAATCAATTTTGTTCAAGAACCCGATTAAATATGTTCACTTGGCAATACGTTATGCAGTGAATGGGACTTTCGATCATTAGTTATGATCACTTGAGATTATTTAAAAGATGCAGCAAATCTCTCGACTGAGGCATCGAGAATATCATATTATAGGAAAAACCGGGTATTGTGTAAATTTGCATAATTATTATTTTTTCTTCGAGCACAACATTAAACCATGAAGCTCGTTAATAAACTTTATTAAAATTTGATTTATTAAATGATTTTACATTATAAAGAACCCATGTTGACATTTCTTTGTTCATTAATATAAACGTAAAAAGAACTGAGCATAACAATATACACATTAAGTTTGCCATGGCGAAATTTTTTTTTAAAAAAAAGTTTCTTAACTTGTAATACAAAAATAATTTGTTATATTTTTTATTAATTAAAGAGAAATTCTATAAATATATAACGTTATACAAAAATTTGGTTAAAAAAATTACAATTAAATAATCATAAGATTATTATAGATATATTTATTGGTCACGAATCACAAATTAAATGTACTTATACCCTCATAAACTTGGTTAAAAATTTGGTCGAATTATAAATTATCCTTATTAAATATCACCGGCAATCCTCATAATTTTATTTTGTTTTCTCTTTTGATACCATTTATAGCCAAAGATTCCAATTATTATTAAAGCTGCGGCACCCACAATTCCGCTTATTGTACCAATTATAACGTTAGTAGTTTTTGAAGAATCCGGAGCAGTTATAGTTGTATTTGATGAAGGGGTATTCGTATTTGAAGATGGCTCAGATATACTTTTAGGTTCAAATTTATCAACCCAGATATAGTTACTAGTATTTCTAGTATCTAACAAGTATATTTTGTTTGACTGAGAAAGTTCTGCTAATCCATTTTGATGAACAAGACGACCTAATAATTAAATAAATTATTTTACTTATTAGATAAAGCCAAAATAAAAATGTTAACGTTAATATTTATCGAAAGTTTAATTTTGAATATATAAATTTTTCTTTTTAACCTTTTTAATATGTAAAACCTAAAATAGCATTAAATAACTTTGCTTATTCTCTTTATTCTCCTTGTTCTTATTATTTTCAACTTATAAAATATTTGATTTATAAATAAAGTCAACATTTTTTGAAGTACATTTTCAATAATTTCTTTGGTTTTTTTTATTCAAAATGGTAAAAAAGAAGGGAACTATTTGAAACTATTAAACAATTATTACACAAAGTTCAATAGAAAATAATGAGATTAAACTAAGTTTGTATCCTTCTGTAAAATGTTATTATTATTCTAAAGTTTTCAATAGAGCTATTCCTTTAAGAATGCAAGCTCATCTTAATAAGTGTTTAAATGCATCAAGTAATGCTAAATTACAAAAAACCATTCCAATACAAAATCCTATACTCTCAAATATCATAGAATATCCTTTAACTAATACAAATACATCTCTTATTGAAAAAAATAGATTTAAAAAATAAATCAAATTAGATAATTTTGCATTATATTCAGCTGGAGTACCATTTACCTTTATTAATAATCCTTTTATTATTCAATTTTTTAAATATATTTGACCATTTTTTAAACTTCCAAATAGAAAGAAGATTGTTAATGAATTATTAGATGAGATTTATGAGATGTAAAGATACAAGCAGATGAACAAATTTCAAAAGTAACAACTCTTTGTATGGTTTCTGATGGCTAGTTTAATATTAACAGAGATTTAGTACATAATTTTATTATTTGTACTCCAAAACCATTTTTTTTTGATGCAACTTTTTCAGGTAAAGAATCTTATACAGCAGAATGGATTACAGATCAAATAATTCAACAAATAAATATTATTAGTATCCAAAAATTTTTAGCAGTCATTACAGATATAACTAATATAATGAAAGCAGCATGAAGAAATATTGAAGAAAAATATCCTAATATTGTTTGTTTTAGGTGTAATTCTCATATTATTAATCTTTTAATTAAAGATATTTTATGTTTTGATGAAATTAAAGCTATAGTTAATAATGCAAAATCAATAGTAATCTATTTTAGATTTTATCTACAAGCAGCAGCAAAATTAAAATATATTCAATTAGAAAATTATAACAAGAAGATTACATTAGTTTTACCAGTACTTACACAATAGAGTACACATCTTAGCTGTTTTCAATCACTTAAAAAATCAAGAATTGCTCTTAAATAATCATTGATGGATCCTTTGATTCGCCAAAAAATGGATCAGATAATGAGAAATAATATATTATCAGATGAATTTGGCAAATGGTAGATTTGATAATTAATATTTTAGAACCAATAGTTATAGCATTAAAGTCTTTTAAATCAGATATATCTATTCTCTCAATAATTTATTCATATTATAGCAAATTAATAGAACAATTTGGTAAAGTTTTATGGCATTTATTTAAAAATATTTAGCAATTTATTCAAAAAAGATAAGAGTATGCATATCATCCTATTATGATGTCTGCTTATATGTTAGATCCATGTTTTTTAGAAGAAAGTAGGAATACAGATTTAGAGGCAACTAGATATTCTAAATTTACAGCATTTACTAACAAATTGTTTGATTAGGAGAAATCTGTAACATTATTTATTAAGCTAGTAAAATTTTGTCAAAAAGCTTTATCATATGATAATAAAATAATTTGAATGTCATTATCTACTCTTAATCCTTTTGTGTGGTAGCAATCATGGTCAGGTTGTGAGCTTCAGCAATTAGCTATCAAATTTTTTTAATTTTTACATCATTAGCAGCTACAGAGAGAAATTTTTCTACTTTTGGATTTATTTATAGCAAAATCTGAAATTGATTACGTAATGATCACGTTAAAAAGTTAGTTTATATTTATGAAAATCTTCAAATGTATGATGAGTTCAAAAGAATAAAGTTATGTAATAAAGGTAAGAAATTCACAAAGAATAAAGAGGATAATAATGAAGGAAGTAATGAAGGAGGTAATGATAATGATGATGATTTATTGAATTTTAATAATAGTATTTTCAGATTTGAATCAAATGTAAATTTATTGTAATAATATCAATATATAACTATTTGAAATAATAAATTTTTATTTAATAAGTAATATTGCGATAACGATTAATATTGTGATAATGATAAATAAAAAATTAAAAAAATTTTTTTTATATAAAATCTTATATTAAAATTTATATTACGATTAATTAACAGTTAATTAACAGTTAATTATTGGTTAATTAACTGATTAATTAACCAAATCTTAATTAACTGTTAATTTCTCATCCCTACCTTTAATATACATTTGCAACATTTACAGCTCATCTTTAAATGATTAAAGGATGCTAAATTCAAACTTAGAAAGGATAAATGTGAGTTTGCTAAGTTAGAATTAGCATTTTTAGGACATATTATGAGTGGACAAGGAATCTCACCAGACCCCTTTAAAATAGATAAAATCAAGAATTTTCTAATTCTGAAGAATATTACTGAGTTGCGAGAATTTCTAGGATTAGCATCATATTATAGGAGATTTATTCAGAACTTCTCAACATCAGCTACACTATTACACTTATTATTACAGAAAGATACATCTTATGTTTAGACAGAACCACAATAAAAGGCTTTTAAGTATTTAAAAATATGCTTAATAACTACATTAGTCTTGATTTATCCTGATTTTAAACGTAAGTTTTTACTCTTTACTGATAGTTCATACATAGGCCTTAATACATTATTAGTACAGCTGGATGATAATAATAAGGAATGTGTTATAGCTATGCTAGTCAGAGTATAAGCCATGCTGAGCAGAATTATACTCCAACTAAATTAGAATATCTTGCCGCCATATGGAAAATGGAACACTTTTGACCTTATTTGTTATATCAATAATTTGAATTAATAATAGCTTTTTAATAAATCTGACCCTTCTCGCAAGTTTATGAGATAGATTATTTATATCATAAAATTCCCATATCAAATTCAATATAAAAAAGGAAAATTACATTCAAACGCTGACGCCTTGTCTTAACTTTCTCACAATAACTCACAATAATTATAATAAAAATCTGAGGCGTAAGTATTAGCAGTGTGACTAATAGCTCTACAATATGGAACCTGAAACCTACTATTAATTATACTAATATCTTACTCAACTCACATACCTCCCAAACCTCATCCCTTCACAATAACATGCAATTCAAAAGCAAGTTCAACATTATTTTATATAAATCAATAATTTTATAGACATAATCATAAGCATCTAACTCAACCCTTACTTGTAATAAAACTGAAAGTATTCTATATAATATCTATAATGAATCTTTAGGAGAACATTTAGCATGTGATATTACTTACAACAAAATAACCTCTTGATATTACTAGCCTAGTATGTATAAAATGATTGATAATTTGATACAGATATGCAATGTATGCTAATGACAAGGAAGACCAAAACCTAAAGAACTATTACACCTTATATCTGTTTAACAACCATTTGATCGTATTGGAATAGACTACGTAGGACTACTTTTACGTACGATAAGAGAAAATAGGTATATTATTATAGCAACTGAATATTTAACAAAATAAGTTGAAGCTAATGTTACACTAGATTGTACCGTTTAGATTATTGCATAGTTTATTTACAATGAAATCATATGTAGACATAAAATGCTAAAAGAAATATTAATTGGCTGAGCAACATCATTTCAAAACGAATTAGTCACTACTTTGTTACATATAGTAAGAATTAAATATAGATTATCTTCAGCGTATTACCCTCAGATCAATGGCCTTACTGAATGCTTTAATAGAACTTTGTATACAATTTAGCCAAATATGCTGAACAACATTATGAAGAATAGGATACTTATTTGACTTTTATGTTATTCGCCTATCAAACTGCTCAATAGGAGGCAACTAAATTTGAGCCATTTGAGTTGTTATATAGACAAAAAGCAGTTTTACCTATAAATTTACAACTACAACAACCTTCACCCATCACAAACTTATCAAATGCCATGAAAAAACATCAGCAGATAATTTCATTATAATTGCAACAATAACAATTAGATGTATAACAAAATATTATGCAATAACAACAAAAGCAACAAGAATGTTACAATAAAAATCAATGGTTTAACTTTCAGAATTTTACAGTATTAAATATATTGACTGATTGGTAAATAAAATGTGTAACTTTATTTTTCTTTTTGATGTGACTATAAGTTTTTACTCAATACATTTTGTAATTAGAAAAGTGTTTTTTTCCTTTATAAAAATCAATATTAATTAAATAATAAAAAAGTTAATTTACCTATATGGTAATACTTCTTATGTTACATTTAACAAAGTGTTAAAAATACCTAAAAAAAGCTTATAAAGCAAAAAAGGCTAAGTGTTAATATGTCAGAAGTAACAATAATATTATAATGTTTCTGATTTTAAAAGTTATTTTAATATTAATGATATTTTTTCCTATGATAAGCTGAAAGGTCTTAATATTAATGATATTTCTTTTTATAATAATCTGAAAGATTATAATAATATCAAAAATCCTGATATTAACAATACTTTTTTTATGATAATGATAATTTTTTCATTTATAATAAACTATTAAAAAATGATAATGCTATAAGTATTGTAAAAAAACTTCAAAAAACAGTAAAAAAGTATCATTAGAAATATGCTTCTCAAAAAATATATAGATACACTATATAGGAAACTCAAGTTGTATTAAAGGAAGAAAGAATCAGCAATAGTATAAAGCAGTATAAAATATCCTTAAATTACATACCTTTTAGAATATTAAGAAGTCTACTAATGAAAATGATGAATTAGATGATAAGACTAATATAAATATAAATAATAATATTAATAAACAGTTAAATGATGATACTAATAAATAGCTAGATAATAAAATTAAATGTTACAATTAATATAATAAATCTCAGATGCTGTTAAAAGTCTAATGTTAGATATACAGTTATCATTAGATATAATGAACCAGCCATTTTAGTAGGATTAGTTCAGTATATAATAAATTTAATATATAAGATTTATGTTATATACTGAACTGTTCAGTATATAAATTTACCTAATAAAATTTTAACTGTATATAAATTTACCATATAATGATCATATTTAAAATACAATAAATACATAATGTATTATAATAGTTTTATTTAAACATTATTATTATATTTAAAGTAATGAAGATTGACCTGCTTATGATTTTTTACAGCTAATACTTTTACTTTTTTATATAATTTTTTTAAAACCTTTAACTCTTTATTTACATTTTCAAATTCTAGTCCCTATTCATATAAAAATTTCATAGTTTTATTTATAGCTTTTTCTACTGCTATTGAAGTTATCTTTTCTAATATAGGTGTAAATTCATTTTCATTCATTATATCTTTTTTCTTATTTGCAGTTCATACAGTATCAACTATTTCAAAATCTGTAAGCTCCCTTTGAAATCTCATTCTCAATATGAAGGTATTTATATGCATTAAGATTACTATTTAAAAGCTGAGAAATTAACATTTTAAGTTCATTAATTTCTATATTATGACTAGTATATTAGAATTTTACAAAAATAATTATTAGCTAAAAATGTTTTTAAAAGATTATATTAATATAATTTATATACCTATTATCAGAAAATACTGAATTATTATCAGAAATTTCTCTAGTTTCAGAAAGGATATCCATTTTCTTCTAATAGTTTGTGATTATTTGAGAAGATACTGTTGATCATACTTCAGCCAAATTTTGTAAAGCATTATAAATAGTATAATCTGCAAGTTTTTCTATAATATCATCTTATATATTATCATATGCATTAATCCTATTCAAAATAAAAAGGCATTTGTAATAGTATTTGAAAGAATAAATTATTTTTGCATCACATGGCTGAAGTTTAGTGATAGTATTTGGTAAAAGGAATTTCACCTCTATATTATTCAACTTTTCTTTAGTTTCATCTAAAATGAGATATATTAGTGTATTATCAATTAAAAAACTATTCTTCATCTTTTTTGTCTTATTATTTCATTAAGTTTAAGAAGGATATCATTAAAATGCTAACTTGCATCCATGTCTTTTTATTTAAAAATAATAGATTGGAAGGTTTTTGTAATTAATATTTTTATAACACAAGGACTTTTATATTTATGAATAAATATTAGTATTATTTTCTCACTGCTAGTTGCATTTATTACACAAAATATTATAATGTAAGATTTCTCTTTTATGCCTTAATAAAGGATTATATGCCAAAACTCTAGAAAGTTTCATCTTTTAAAATAAACTAGTTTCATCATCATTCTAAATGTTTTTAGGATTATAAGATGCAAAAAACTGCTATAAAGTAAGACAATCTCTTTCTATTAATTCAGCTAAAAGTATGCTTTTAGCTTTATCTTGCTTTTTAAATTGACATAAACTATATCTTTTCTTGAAATTACCTAACCAACCCTCTGAATGATGGAAGTCTTCTATGAAAAAATACTTAGCAAAATAACTTATATTTACTTTTAAGATATTACTATCAATATTTTGTTTTATATTAAGTGTATTATTAACCTACAAACTTAATGCATTTTTAAGTTAAGATCATTTAGATTCATGAAATTTTTTAGTGTTTTCTGTAACTGTAAGCTAATGTTCTTTCTCTTTCAAAATATCAGTAATTATAGATTTTTCAATATTATATTGTTATACAAGTTTTACATTTTGAAAGGTTGGATTGTTTTTTTAATTTTACAAATTTTACACTTTTGTTTAGCAGTAATATTAACTCTTTTTCTTTTTATTAGCATTATCAGAACTTTTGAAAAAATTTATTTGATATAAACTAACAGAAATTGGAAAAATAATTACGTAAATAATGATGATATGTTCATATTTTATATAAATTACATTAAGTCACATGATAGTTTAGTATACCAAATATGTATCTAATATATTTAGATTAACTAAAATGAGTTCAAATGTGGTATATAGTAATTTAGTTAGTAATTTCGTTATAACTAGTATAATTTATTATAAAAAAATCAGTTTTATAAAACTTAGTTTAGTATAATAAGTTTTCAGTATAACTAGGTTTGTTATATCCAGTGATGACTGTAAAAAAGAAAAAATAAATAGTAAGATTTAGATGTATTCAAATAGCATTTGTCTTTATTTTCAACTTGTAAGAAATAACCATTTAAAAATGCAAGCAAATAAGATTGTTTTTAATGTAATAAGAAAAGGAATATACTATACTAAATGCATTTATATTTAAAAATATGAGTATATAATAGATCACAAAATTTTCTACTCTTATTGAAGATATCATACTAAAATATAAAGTTTTCTTCTGAATGAGGATTTTTTTTCCTAAGTAAAATTATTTGTTTAGAAGTATAAGTAGAAAATTACTTTATAAATATTAATAATACAAATAAAAGAAAATATTTTATTAAGACTCAGATTCGCATTATCTCTAACTATTTATATAAATTCTGCAAAAAACTATTTGAAAGAACTTAAATATACACATGCAAAAGTAAAAAGAGAATATATATAGATAGATATGAAAGAGAAGATATAGTGGCCTATCAGAAAATATTTTTAAAACAAATAAGTAAATTTGAGCATAGAATACCTATTTTTTTTTAGGAACAACTTAGAAGAAGTAATCTGATCAGATAATCTACTTATTCTTGTTATATATAATAAATGCATTTTCTTAGCTTATGATAAAAGTTAGAGTTTTTAGATCTCTAATAGAGAATAACTCTTATGAAAAAAATAACAATTATTTGATTTATATTAGTAATTTTAACTGATGTCTGTAGATATTTTGCAATTTCTGATGAAATATAGGTATTAGATGACTTTCTCAAAGAGGCTTAAATTATTATAAATTTGGGTAAAAATAATGATAGATAGTAAAAAGCTAAAGATTTAGTAAATCTGATAATTAAACATACAATTTTTATATTTAAAGCACGCTTTTAGGATATCAGACTTTATTTACATTTGATAATACATCAAGTCATGCTGCTTTTTTACCAAATGTATTAATTGCCAAATATATGAATCTTAGTTCTAATGGAAAACAGCTAAAAATAAGCAGCTAAAGATATACAGTATATATTTTGATGAGGAAATTTAACAAAAAATCTTCTTTCTATTAAATTATTATATTTCTAAATTACATAAATAGCTAAAAGGGTTAAAGTAAGTTTTAATAGCAAGGGAATTATGACTAGATAGAAGGTTAAAATTAAAAGGAATACAAAAAATATGAGACAACAACTGGATTTTTTTAGTACAAAAGGGATAATCAGAAGAGATTATTATTATAATTAGATATCAAATCATATTTTACCCTAAATTTTATTGTGAATTCATTATATTAAGAACTTTTAGAGTGTAGCTAAAAAATTTAGTCAGTCAAATTGTGATTAATTATAAATGTAATTACAAAGAATTGTTTATTAGCTCTTACTTTCATTTTACTTATAACTATTTGTTAGTATGCAATAAAGATATTTCGCTATATAGATATATACTGAAAAGATCTAATAAGAATAGCAGAATTTGCAGTTAAAAATATTACTTATATTGTTAAGTTCCTGATTCAGTTTTACAAACAGTTATTATTGAGGTAAGATATATAAATTATTTGTATTGGTTATAGGCAAAAAGAAAAATAAAAAATTAGTAATATGTAAAATTTGCATATATCAATAATAGCAATTAAAATAAAGTACTTATCTTTTGAAAAACTTTTTAAAATCTAAATTTGCTAAAAAAGATCATTAAATTTTTTTATAAGATTATAGCTTTTGATCAGTGTTATAAGAATAAAAATTAATCAATTAAAAGTAGGAAATTTGATCAAGTGAATCATGTGTAAAATAGCTAAATTTTTTTGTTAAGCTTAAGTTGTTTTATCATTTTATGATTATATTTTATGATTATCATTTTTTTTGAGTGAAAAGTAGCAATTTGAATTTTATTAATTTTATTATTTGAAATTAAATTGTATGCATTGTAGAAGATAAATTTTTTTTTTTAGAATTTTATAATATTACATAATTAATTTTTATTATTTATACAATAATCTAAATGTGTCAATTACACATAAATATTTTTAATTAAATAGATTATACTTGATATAAAAAAGGTTTGATAGTTTATTATTATTGTATAGCTAGTATATAAAAAGTTAAATAAATTTAAAATTTTAATAATTTTAAAAAAATTAGTTTAATTATTAATGATACTTGATTAGTAAGGAAAGTATTTAAATAATTATTATAATATGATTATTTAGTTTTATTATCTAAGAGTTTTATATTTGTTTATAAAGAGAATGTATTTTTTACATCTTTTTTAATCCTCTTTATTAATACTGTGCAGTAAATTTTCTAATCTGTCTATATTAAAAGTATTTCCTAAATGCATTCATGTGATTTAAATTGTTTTCACTAATGATCAATACAAATTGTTACATATTATTTTACTTTGTTGAATAAACATCATGTAATTTTGCTACACGTATATTTTTATACTATGGTTTATCTGCTGCAGTTTTGTGATATATACAAATATGCTTAAAAAACTTGTTACCTTAACTGATTTCCAAAAGTATGAGTTTTGACTTTATGCTAATTGTAATAATTTAACTCAAAAACAATATATAGCTTAGATAAAACAGAAATGGAAAGTTAGAGTTGATGAATCTACTATTACATGAATCTTACAAATTAAAAAAAGACTTACCGTTAAAGTAATTAATTCAGAATAAAAATATCATAGGTCTATTATATATCCAGAATTTGAACTTGCTATTAAGAAGTTCGTATTAAGATATCAATATCAAATCCTCAAAAAATTATTCAATATTACACCATCTATTATGTTCTACATTACTATCATTAATACGCATAAGGGTATTATGTTGTCCATGTCCATTATCCAGTCCATTCAAAGAATTAGAAGCGCTAGTAAAGTTATTATTATTATATAAACAAATTCAAACCCATCCACAGAAAATTTATTCTCATACACATAAACCAACCAATTAAGTTAGTAATCCAGTTCAAAAAAAAAATATATTGTAATTGTAATCTACATTAAACTAAGATCCAAAGTGTAATCCAATTCAGTCAAAGAATCAAAGAATTAGACACGTAGCAAACACAATCCATAGAAAATTTATTCTGATACACATTAACCACTGATTATTCCTGTCATTCATACCACAAAATTCCCTATTAAATGCGTCTATATTCATTATTCTCATTTATATACATTACATTAAATCCAATCGTTGTCAAAGAATTAAACGCGTTAGTAAGTTATTATATAAAAAAAAATAAAATAAAATGAACAAATTCAAATCGAAGCAAACCCAATCCACAGAAAATTTAACCACTGATTATTCCAGATCAAGCCTGTCAATCCATACCAAAAAACAATTCACTATTCTAATATTCTCTCATACATTATTCTCATTTATACACATTACATTAAATCCAATCGTTATCCAATCCAGTCAAAGAATTAAACGCGTTAGTAAAGTTATTATATAAAAAAAAAAATTAAAAATTAAATTCAAATCGTAGCAAACCCAAACCAGAGAAAATTTAACACTGAGTATTCCAGATCTAGCAAGTCATCCATACCAAAATATTTCACATCTAATATATTCT